GCTGTCTCTTTAAATATCCAAAATAGTCAAGCTGCTTTTAAACCTTCAAAATGGCGGTGCTCTCCGGACTGGCAAAAGTCCACAGCTCAGCCCGCTTTTCTCTTCTCCTTCTCTGTTTATTCCCCAACCACAGTGCACAGTCCTCCGTGCAGTCCTTGGCTAGCAGGGTGGATTTTTAGGTTAATTCTTAGTTCCTACCACCACTTGGGAATCTCCAAGCTGTCTGTGCCATCAGGATCGCTCAGGATCGCTGCCAGACCGCAGCTGGGTATGTCTCCTTTTTTGGTATTTTCACACAAATTCTTCTGCTAGTTGGGGTTTAGTCCACTTCTGTATCCTTCCCTCCCAGGCTCAGGGGTCCAGGATTATCTTCTGTGCCTGTGTTAATTGGTTTCCCTTTTCTTTGTTGAAAAGGGTCTGTGTAGTCTTTCTGCCTAGTCCACCATCTTTTTTTGTGAAACTGGATCCTTTTCTGTGTACTGGTGTTAGACTGTTCATAATCAGTCTACTCTGAACCTCTTAATGAGTGAGTTCATGTAAATTACCAGTCAGTTTTATCTTGTTTACTGAAATTTGTATTTAAAGCTCTCCTGTAGAATGGAGAGTTGGTATAAAAAAAGGGACTTGAAAAACCATAGGAGTAAATAAGATCATCCTAAGAGGATGATCTCATCAATCTCTTGAGGAAGAGATTGAAGAGCATTTAGAGTGGAGCTTGTAGATCACCAAATTTTAGAAAATGGGTAGAGAAGGAACATCCAAGGAGGGAGGAAAAGCACAAGTGTATAATATTGGAGCCCCCAGACGAAATTGTTTCAAGGACCAGTCAAATGTCAGTTGCTGCCAGGAGGTCCAGCAACATTAATAAGAGTCTTCTAGGATTTGTTGCCATGGAGACTTTGAATGTAGTTTCAGAGGAAATAGCAACTATATTGCTGTGGGTGATAAGGAATGGAGACTGCCGGTGAGGACATTATATTCAAGAAGAGCCTTAATATTGATTGTCTCTCTGTGCATAGCCCTGTATTGGGTGCTACCATGAAACAGTTTGATCTCTTAATAAGCTGTATCCTAATAGTAAAAACAAATTATAGTCTCAAGAGTTTAAAAAAAAAATGAAAATCACCTCTTCTATTTTTTTGTTTTTAAAAGTGTGTATCTGTTTAGTGAAATGTATGTGCATATAAAAATGAATCGGATCTGTACTTCAGCTTTCTGGAAGAATATGCAGGAAATCCACAGGTTACTAGTTTGGGGAGGGAAAGATCCATGCAGCTGGAGGACAAGAGTTGTGGAGGGAGACATTTGACTTTATACAATTTATAGTTGACATTTGAACAATATTTATATATTACCTATTCCAAAAAAAAAATTCATTAAAGTAAAGGTCTCAAAATAACCTCTGATCTTCTCAAAGAAATCATCTTCCTATATGGGGTTTACATAAAGGTTGACTTGTCAGTATTTTAGTTATCAAAACAAAGTACTATTTCCTGAAATTTAGGATCAGGTAAGAAACTTAATATTGCTCAAGAAACCAAACTTAAGAGTTTTAAACTTTCTTCCCACTTACAGGTGATGGTAAATTCTGCACCAGTTGCAGCTTCCAGTGCCAGTAATGTTCCAGCTCCAGACTTATCTAACTGTACAGCAGCTAATCAAGCTAGTAGTACCACTTCAGTTTCTTCACAGGATGCTACACAGCCTCTATTTGTATCTCCACCTACACACGGCAGGCCAGGTAGGTTATTAGTGATTGCTTACTTTGGAATCTTCTCTTCCTGTCCATGAATATGCACATAAAATTATTCTAGTGATTAGGTAGGATTATTTCAGTTTCTAGAGCTCTATTTGTTTAGTCTACTTAAAAAAGTATATTCTACTTGAGGAATCCATTAGATTTGAGAGCCAGGGGTTTCATTTCTTGCTTGTATATTTGACTCTGATAAAAGATTTTGTAGCTTTAAATTTGCTACCTTACTGAATATTATAGGACTTGTGCTATTTTCTCAAACTTAGTGTTAAGCTAGGAAGTAAGGAAGAGACATTGGACACGTTATAGAATAAATTCCTGAAATACTGGCTTTAAAATACATTTCTCAGTAATGAATAATTTTTCTGTATCATAATAAAGAATACAAACCCAAACTCACTGCCATTGAGTTGATTCTGACTTATAGCAACCTCCTTTGGTTTTCCAAGGCAGTAAATCTTTATGGAAATAGATTGTCCAGTCTTCCTTCTATGGAATTTGTTGTTGTTGTTGTTTGCTGTCGATTCGGCCCCGACTCATAGCGA